ATAATAATAATAATAATAATAATAATAATAATAATAATAATAATAATGATGATGATTATAATTATAATAATAATAAAGTTTAATAATTAATTAGAATATATTTACATACAACATGAGTTCAAACCCATCAAAACACAGAATTCAATAGTGAAATATATTATCATAATAAATTATTGTTCGGCTTTTCTTTTCCATTCTTTAACATATTAATATTATAATCTATTTTAAGTTGAACTACTTATACACGCATTCGTTGGGATTAAGTCTGTTTAAGTACAATTGTTTACAATCTAGAAATACAGTTCTAATTGATATTACACACGTCTCACGACGAACATTCGCCGATAAGTAAACACGTCGACAACGTGTAACAACGTCGTTGTTTAGCGTATACACGAATATTATGTACAGTTAGATCCGAGGTAATAATATTACGATATCACCTACACAGCGACAGTAAAAATGTTATTCAAATAGTGTATAAATTTAATTCATTTGTAAAAAATAATATCCTAGTAACAAATATTTATAAATATATTATCAGTATTATAAAAAAAAAAAAAAAAATCAAAAATTTGAATGGTAAGCGTACGAAAATTAGCTAAAATAAAAATATAACGTTAATTATATTTTATATGTTTAAAATAAATAATCATATTCTGGTTTTTACACGGAGGCGACTTAAACAAATAATTTCTGCTAGTATTCATCCGAAGTTTTTTATTACTATATTAATTATTTACACAAACATCGACAGAACGTTATACTAATTTGATTAAATCTATTCACTGCAATTACGTCGTTGAGCAAATCGCTTACAGAGGAGAGCAGCTTTCGATTGAGTAATTCGAATCAATAGGCGTCTGAATCAGCTGTTTCGAGCTATCGTTGACTATGGTTTCTTCTCTCTTCTTGTCGATTTTACGTTGCTTAGCCCGTCTATTTTGAAACCATATTTTCACCTGTTATAACGATAATAACATATTACTTCTAACCAAAAATACCAACAAAGAACGTGCATTTTTATTAAATATATATATATATATATATATATATATATATATATATGATATCATAAATATACACATGATTTTGAAAAATATTCGAATAATTGTGATGAAAACAATATTACAACAATAAGTTTTGAAAACATCGCGAGATTTAAAGCTTATCCTACGTTGTTTTGCTCCTCAGTGATGGTTAACACAAATATAGGATATGTAGCCGTTTAGAACATATCAGATATCGAAGTACCTTGTTTATGTACCTACCCACTTAAGATAAATGCTTGGTTGGGTTAGCAGTTTTATTTTATAAATTGCAAAAAAAAAAATCTTTACAAATAATGTAAATCATTGTATTACTAAACATATTTTTAATTATAGTGTATTATAATCCTTTGCGAGCTTAAAATGCATTTAATTAATAAATAATTGAAAAAAGGTTAATGAAAAATGCTGGTACCATTATTTTACCCTTATATTAAAAGATATAATATGTAGATCTAAGAACTAAAAAAAAAAGTTAAAAACGTGTAATTTATAATTATACGTTTTTAATTCTACTTATTTTTATTTAGTCTACTATCTACTATTCATTTTTAGATTTAACCATCTATTACTTATTTTCGTATAACTATGAATATAACTGATTTTTAATATTAAGCTGTATAATATGCTTATATAAACACTTTTAGTATAAATATATTTAATTTAATATTTAATGTTAAATGAGTAACTATAGTTAATTTCAGGATAGTAACTTATTATTTGCTAAGGATAATATAAGATATATTTGGAGATTAATAAAAAACATTATTGATACATTTGTATAACATCATTTTCTTTTATAATCACTATATCACCCATCTTACTATAAAATATATGTTGTACAATATTTATGATTTCTTATGTAACATGTGAAGTTAAAATCTCTATTATATATCACTATATAAAATATGTATACAATTGAGTTGATTTTAGAATTAAAAGGGTAAGAATATTAAACAGAAATCTGAAATTATATTCATAATTAATTTAGGTCTTAGTTAAATAGAGCAGAGAATTAAATATCGGCTTCCTGATAAAATGTAATGATACTCCCCTGCATTCGTCTTAACTTAAACAATTAAAACAAATAAAACAAACCCTTTCCAAAATCAAATTTAGCCTTTAAACTGCATTTATAGTGCTCAAAAATTTACCAAAAAAATTATAATAATATTAATTTATTTAAAAACAATATTCATTTTTGGAAAAATAAGAACCATAAGATTGAGATAAAAATACAAAAAAACATACTTATAAAATAAGTTCACATTTGTAATAGACTTATGTAGCCTTGAGTAATAAATTTATTTGAATTAACTCTCACTTTCTAATAATACTTTGTAGGCTATAGATATTATATAAATATGCATTGTCAGACAATCTTTTGTTATTTATTCATTTAATCAAGTTCTTAAAAAAAAAATCGTATTTATTTTTTAACACGTGATTCTCCATTTGCTTGTAAAGTTTATCAAATCTAATGTTGTAGTAGGTTTTATAATTTATCATTGTTTTGTTTGAAGTTAACACAGCATATTATATCGTCACATAATTGTATGTGTTGAATAATTTTAATTTTTTAAAAATAAACTTACTTGTCTTTCGGAAAGATTTAACATTTTGGAGAGCTCCGTTTTTCTTGTAATTGTGATGTACCGGTTAAAGTGGAATTCTTTTTCGAGCTCCAAACGCTGCAAGTCGGTGTATACAACCCTGTATTTATCTTTCGTGCGTGTTCTACCTACGAGTGAAAGAAAACGATAAGTTAAAAAAAAAATAAATATTCAAATGTTTGCTGTGTTAATAATAGTGGAGGTATAACAACAAGAGTTGTTGCTATGAAATAAAGATGATAAATAAGCGGCAATTTCTACGGCACGGGTGCGCATAAGTACTATATGACATTTTTATTGTCTGTACAATCGCTTAACGTGTTAAATCAGCGAGCTAAATAAATACACAATTTAATTGATCCATCTTCTGTGATTTTTAATTATTATTCTTAGTTCATTTATTGGTCGTCCATAAAAAAAAAAAAAAGAAAAACGATTAAAAACAGTACAAATTAATTTATCCAATCGAAACTTTTTTCAGAACGGATGAACATACAATGCTTTACCAAATTTTATAATCCACAATACAACTTGTCCTTTCAAATGTAAATAATTGATTTCGATACGTTTTAATAATGATAAATTAATCAATTACATAATTCGCATATTGACGACTTTTGACATACTTAGTAGTGTTGTTACACAGTATTTCGCATCAGTAGAAATCGTGCAATATAATAGTGGTGAAATGGCATTACGATTTGGTACTCGTAGGTTTAGATGATAGAAAATCCTTTGTTAACATGATTAATGTACAGAACACGAGCAGCACAGGTATGGATGCCAGGCAATTGGTCGACTGCTTGTACCTATTCAGTTGTGTTGCGTAAGGCGCTTAAATATAAATTTAAATAATATTTTTATAGGCTTCGGTTACAATCGTATGAATATTTGATTGTAATACAGCCATATTAAAACCGTTAAAACATACCGGACGTTTTTAATGTTCTACGTTCCGTGTACCTTTTAATCTAAGGCTCGCTTTATAAAAAAAAAAAAAACACAAAAGTATAGTTACTACATTTGACCGCGATATATCACGCGATAGTTATTATTTCACTAAACAGTTTATCGCTTCGTGGCATTATTACAACCAAAGTTCCCAAAACGAATGTCGCCTGAAATAGTTTCGGTTCAATAATAATAATAATAATAAATATATTTTGCAACATCGGAGATTTCACATCAAAATACAAACATTGAAAATACAATTTACGGGGAGCAGTTCTTAAAAATTAGAATAATGCAATGTAATACATTCGGTATTAATAAAAAACAAAAATACTGCGTACAGTCAACGTATAGGAATATAGTGGAATTTTCCTATTGCAGTGTTGTCGTTGTGATTATGGAACAGCCAGTTCCACAACCAATGCTTTTGTATTGAATAACAGAAATAAAACGTAATGCAACGTACGTAAGTAGCGCGTTGCGCGCACGCGGACGAGATATAGTATTCGCTAAACAAAAGCGTACCGCAATGACGAAAAAAAATGACTGTAAGCCGTACGAAAGTATCTCCGTTCGGTTATCTCGCAGGTCGATTCGTGTGTACCTTGTGTGGTTTTTTTTCATTTTTTTTTCTCACCTTTACGTACATTATGTATACATACATGTACATATGTATACATGTACACATGCCTGTTGTGTTTAACTTGTTCAGCGTTTTTCGTGCATGTGTGCGGCGCGTCCGTGTACGACAACTGATAGGATAAGGCTTTTGTGGTTCCAAAACGTTATCTTAGGCCGCTCGAGGTTTTTCAAATAAGCCGCCAAGCCACTCGAAAGATAATCCATAGGCACACACGCATGCACGTACACCCGCGCGCGCATCGGTACATCGTACGTCGCAGTAGTGCGCCGCGCAGGCGTACGATTAATCACCCGTAGACGTACGACGAAATGGCTAACGGATCGCCGTTCGCCGACGCTTCGCGAAACGGTGCTACGAAGGGTCCGGTGTCCAATAACCGGGGGGGGTATCTCAATTTTTTCTCTCGAAGTTCCTGGTTTTCGCGTATCCCCCGATGGAGAATAATATCTTGTGAAACCGAAACGCGCGAGCGAACGGGTTCGGATGGATGTGTTGCGCGGTGGACGGGGCAGGGTTTCGGCGGCGGATAAAAGGAAACCGCACGCGGTGAACGCGGTCCCGGTTTCAGCTCGCGGCGTGACGGCGGCGGGTGGGTGGACGCGCGCGCGTGACTTTTAACGATTGTCCGACGAACCGGTGCGCCGGCACCGCTCAACCGCGCGGTACGTGCACACGTGTCTGCGCGCCGAGTGCAGGACGAGGACACGCCATTGGCCGGGCAACAATATGGCGGGCCGAACAATGAGTAACGTACGTGCGGGCGGCGGGCGTGCGTGAACAGGTGAACGACGCGCGTGCACGGGCAACGTCTTGCAGGAACACAGTTCGCGGTCGTAACTCGAATTATTTCATCTCCGGTGCGCGCGTGCACGTGCGCGCACCTCCGATTCTTTTATTTTTTATTCTTGTCGAATTTCGTTTCTGACGATGCCGTCTGCCGTTCTGACGCGGCTGCGCGACGCCGCGGTAGCCCGACGTCGAGGAGAAAGTCGACAAACAAAACGGATAGGGCGAAGAACCGCTGGGCGGCGGCGAGGCATGAGGGGGCGCAGTCGACGACAACGGCACGTTGCGCGCGCGTATAACGACTCTCGGGGGATCGGTTTGTTTCGGAAAGCGCGCGCGCGCGACAAGCGTTAATCTGTCGACCGTTGGACAATCGTTCGCGGCAATCAACGGCCCAAATGGGTAGACGCGTCCGTCCGGAGAATAATAAATCACATCCGAGTACACACGGTCGTACATTTATATATATATATATTTATCAAATCGACCGAATCATTTCTGCGCCAGCACGTGCGCGTGCAGGATAAAGAATAAAGCGATACGTACGTATTGTACACAGAAAACACGCATTACTTTTTTCTCGCGTCCCCACCCCTTCCCGCACCGAATGCTTTTCCATCCGGGATCCACTGTTCTTCTTGAAAAAAGCGGCGGTGGCCGTTTCATCGACTATCAATTATCGGTTGGTGTACAATTACTTAACGTGTTGGAACGGATTTAATGAAGTACCGATACGCATCTACGGTATGTTTCGGATGCCAACACGTGATAATATCACCGTCCAGTGACAGTGATTAACTGAAAAAATATTAAAATAAATAATTGTACTCCCGTTCGTACACGTAACGCTTTACACGAGTGTCGAGCCGTGATGATAAATATTGCAATATTTTTTATATTGTACGTATATTATTATGATAGTCAAACCTTAACCCGTGTATAAAAATGTTTCCTAACATCAATATCGATATTAAATTTTACCGTCAAGGTCTCGATATAAGTAATATAATTGCTCTCTAACATTATAGCTCACATTTATCACCTATCAGGTTGTTTTTAATGGCTTTGCCGTGCCGTCCAGCAGAAATACTACATACATTATACATCACACACAAATAACACAGTATAGGTGTATATAGTATAGTGTGTACACCGTCATTTTGTCGAAAAGAATAAAAGTAACATTCCACTACGACGAGAAACCTTTTGTGGTGATGATGTCTCCATTGGAAGGATATAAAAAAAAAGAGGAAAAAATTGAACTAAAACCGTCAGAATGTATATATAGCTATCAAAGTTATAGTTATGACCGCAACAGTCCGGGGAAGGGAAATGTTTAATGCAATAAAATTAAAGATAATGTTGTAGGTTGTTTTTTTGCCGCCTCATCATATGCGCTGCCACACGGTAGAAGGGTTTCTTGGTTTTTAATAGCATTTCCTTCGACCCGAGCAATAAAATTTGTTTAAGATATCCAGACTGCCGAAACCGGTATAAACACCAATAAAATAATAAGTATTAAATGTTACCTAGTGGTTTAAATAAAAACCGATAAATTACAAAAACGTCAGATGTGTTGTACGATAAGAGGTTGTTCTTTTTGAACTGGAGCCGATATGCATAGTTAGGCGCATTATGATGAGTATAAAATAGTGGAAAAAATTCTGCGAAAACGCAACTATTTATCATTTTATTGACACTATTTTTTTTTAATTTTTTTTTTTTTTTGTAGTGTTTTAATCGTGATGGTCGTGGTTAAAAGTAACAATCAAAATTTGTTATATATACAACTTAGAGAGGAAAATGCTAAAGTTAAACATTTGCGGCTTTTACAATTCATGTCACGTTATTTGCAATATACCATGGACCATTCCCTATTTTTTAGTGAACCCCGATACGAAGTGTGTAGTCTGAAAACTGGAAGGGTGCACTTCGGATTCAAGAAGTGTGTACCTCCTAAATACTAATAAATAAGACTACTATGAAGATGTTTTTTCAGGAAGCCAGTTTAAGTAAGACAGCTATTGAGGAGTTAAATACATCTATTACATTTTAAATTATACATCCCACATTAAAATAAATAATTTGTAAATAGTTTTCAGATTTATACCAGACAAACGTTTATTTTCAGTTTAGAAAGTAATAAGAGATTGGAAGTTATCTAATTATAATGTGAATTAATAAAATAGAACTAATACTAAAATTACTACTAACATTGTACTAAAAATTATAATCATATGGAAGGGGATAGAGGAGGGCTCTGTATCATATCATTGTACATTAAAAAATGTGTAGTACGAATTTTTATAAAAAATATGGGCTGTCATGGACCAAATTAAACTTTAACTGTAATATAACATAATATATAAAATATATATGTCTTTATTCAAATAGGTGACATGGATGCTTAAAATAGTATTAATTTTTCTCTAATTTTTTTTATCATATTCAGCTCTAGCTTTAAGTTACGTATAACTTGAATGGAATGAGTTTATGGTTTGGTAAACTGAGTCATCCACCTAAGATATTAGTATAATTTTAATTATGTCAGTTGGTCAGTCATGTAAATGATGAAAAAAAAAGCGTCCTTCAGGCCTACATATTTTTAATGTAGTAGTGCTTTAGCCTCTTATCACATCATAAAATACTAATATTTATTTAGAAAAAGGTCTATAGTAAAATAACTATTATATTTTTCTCTTTTAGAAGAAGAACAAGTTTCAAAAAAGTTTTCTCTGAATATTTTTG